ATATAAATTAGCTCAGAATCTTGCCTTAAAAACTCTAATTACGCTATGTTTAATTAATATGCAAGTCGTTTGATTACAACTCCTCCGGATTTAAATGTAAATCTCCTCCGACATGACTTTATTACTTTTCCTTGATGCGGACTCTTTTTGTCCTATTTTCGCATATTTGAACTTCAGAGGGTCTATATTTTTCATTTTAACTTTAAACGACAATTTAAGGTGATAAAAAATTGAATTAACCCCTAATAAATATAAAACATAAACATACCTATGGGGTCGTACATAAAGTGCGGCACTCAGAATTTCACCTTTTTAACCCTCCCTACCCCTTCGTCACACTTTAAGCGAACAAATATTACCCCACAAAAACTACTCTGCCCCTTCCTATAAACAATGAGAATGACTTTCTAAGGAAATGAAAATTTTTAAAAATAACAATTATATAAAATTGATTATATAAAATTGATGACTGGGAACGTCACATTTTTGTAGAGCCGCCCCCCCCCTTCATCTTTGCACCTTATTTCCGAACGTATTTTATGAACGACCCCCATGTATCTTTTAAAAATATTTACATTTATTATTATAAACATGGACCAATATGGGTAAGAATGCCAAAGTTGTTAGTCATTAATAAAATACTCTCATGAAACCTTACTTCATAAAAGCTTGCACGTCTTCACAAATAACTTCACAACCTGGCCATTTGCAGACACCATGGCCATACAAATGTTGAATTTTGTCCGGCGTGTTAGTGCCATCGGCTTTTTCTTCCCCTGGGACCTCCTCCCTGTTTGTCCTACTTGGTGTTAAGCCACCTATAAGCCCTAAAAAGAGCCGTTATTGTAGAGAATCAAAAGCTATGCGACTCATTTCCACTGCAAATTGTCCAAAAGTACTGGCGAATTAGGTGCTTAAGAACGAGCCAATTAACTACCCATTTCATCGCAAGACGTAGAATGCGTCTTTAAAACGTACTCTATTTTTTTTTTAAATTTGCATAAGAAAGACTAATTATGTCTTTTAAATCGTACTTAAATTTCGCGTTGTCTTCTTTTTGTTAGAAAATTTTGAATTTGCGCATTGAACCTATTGTAATTTAATATTGAAATCTTTCTTACCATTTACGTCTGATATGGGTTTACTATTTGGAAGAGATGAAGGAATTTCTATGCTAGGGTCTTTCCATGGACTCATCACATCCCTATTGTTCAAGCCTGCGATAAAATTTACTGCAGCAGTTTTTAATAGTAATTGTTATTGAAGTTCTATACAAGTAAAACAACAGAAGTAATAACCGAAAATTGTTAAAATTACGTCTTTTTGTCTTATACGCATATTTAGGTATTAATTAATTAATTAATATTAAGTTAAACAAAGTATAATTAAACAGAACATGCAACGTTAATTATCAAAAAGTGAAGATTGGCGAACATACGTACGTTTTTAACTACGTACTTACAGTAATGTTTTAATTACATTGCCTTTGTGCATGGATATTTTATTTAATCTAATGTACAATTTATTATGCGAAAGTTTCAGGAACTAATTCAAAATAGCCGCTTATCACCATCTTCTATGCGAGCCAGCTCGCGACCAATAGGATCATCCCATTCAGTCGCGAACTAACACTATCTATGAAATTAGCCATTACTTATTTGTGATTCTGAGAAAGGTGGCCAGAATGAGCAGTTCGCGTGGCATGTGTCTGACGGTTTTGCAAATTTTTTAATGTTAAAAACAATAAAACGGGGTTGAAACGTGTGTGTATGTAGTGTTAGTGATCGTATTAAATTCCGACAAGACTCAGACACTGCCAGAAATAAACATTTAACTCTAAGTTAAGAACTTTAAAAAAGCCGGTAGAGGTACACGTGTATGTGTGGTAAGTACATTTTACTGTATTGATATTGTATTGAATATTTATTTCGTACCTCACCATATATAAACTGTGAATCAAATAATAACAGTTTTAATGGTAATTATGATTTGTTGCGATTAAAGCATATAATGTCGATTTCGTCGCAGTTTTAGTTGCTACAAATCGCAAAAAGAAAATGGCTGTCGCCATCTTCTTATCCACAGGTTGCTGTTAGAAGAAATACAAATTTTAAAAGCAAACTTATTAACATTAATATGTAGAGGCAAAGGTATTAGTTTTCTAAAAGTTTGGATTGTGAGATAGATTAAGGGAATTTTTATTCAAGCAAACTAAATTTGAAAAGATATATCAACATTCTAAGGATATTTTAGAAAAAAGTTGATTTCTTAATTTAAAAAGCTTCACGTGCGTTAAAACCGAAGGTGTTGAGGTCGGACGGATTCCAGCGAAAGGATAAAATAGGGGAGCGATGTGGAGAAATTAGGGGATGAGGGACGGGCAAGTGCCAACAGTTTTACCACACGTGAAGCCCAGACATCCATCTTTTCCTAATCAGCTTCTTTTTCCTTTCGGGGGGTGATAAAAACGATTGATTCAAAAGCGGCATCAATAGTGGCATTGCCCAGTTTCTAAGGTTTTGTAATGGGAGAAATTTGGACAGGCATCAGGAGGGTGTACCTACCTCGCTGGAATACGTCCACCTCACACATCTTCCGGCAATTTCAGTTTCTCACTTGAAGCTTTCTTCAAAATGATATTTGCAAAATATTTACATGCATTATAATTCACTTTTGAAACTGATTTTAAATGAATTTACTCTTGATTCATTTTAATTCGTAAATGATATTTTGATTTTTATGATAGTTAAAGAATAACCATAATAGTTCTTCGAACTTCTTGATTGTGTTGTTCTTCCTTGAAGGATCCTCAATCAGGTATGTAGGTAAGTTTGTTTTGAGAGAATAGTGAGCAACATGCTTTATTTTCGTAAAAGTGATAAGCCTCTTTTTTGGTTACGCCTATAAGTACCTAATACGTACGTTTATTTTAAATGATTATATTAAATACGCTACTAGCAAACATCTAAAACAAAAAGCGACTTACCGGACCCTTGTACGAGCATCATAGGTTGCATCCCCATTCCTTGATGCACAACATACTGCCGTTGAATGAGTTGTAACTGCTGAATTAATTGCTGCTGTTGCAAAGCTAATTGCTGTAAAGAAGCAGAAGCCTTTTTCTTATCTGTACTTTGTAAAATCTGCGTTTGTTGAATGAGATTAAGTTGCAGTTGTTCTTGTAATTGTTGAATTGTTTGCTCGATCTGTTTCTTCCCTAATTCGGCTAATTGTTGATGCTGTAACAAAGATCCGCCAGTTAGACGTTGTACATGTTGAGTTGAATAGCTCATTGTTTTTAACCTGCTGATGATGTTGCTGTTGTAAGACAGAATGTTGTTTCATTAAGGTCGACAGTTGCGAAGGACTTAGTACGTGTTGTTGTAAAAGTTGTTGCATGTGATGATGTAGTCCAGAAACAGGAGACCCTATCATCTGAGATCCTGGTGTGAGTTGAGCCTTAAAAATATTCAAAAACTTAGACGATTGTTGACGATAAATCGAAGATTCGTGAAGTACCTGCGTGGCAGGTATGGATGCTCCCAGAACTTTTTGTGCATCCGCAGCAGGCGGGGGTGATAATTCGTGCACCCTGTGCTCTGAAGTCGGACTTGTCTCTCCATTCCCTTTAATTTCTTTTTCTCTATCCCAAGCGCGCTCCAGCTCCAACTGTTGTTGTTGCTGTTGCTCTTTCAATACTTTTTCTAACGAGGCAGCTTGCTGGAATAAATTCAAGTCAGTCAAAGCTGGATGTACGTATAATCATATGATTGATGTAGATAATTGTTCTTTACAAATCTTCAAAAGTTTTGTTTTAATCTTCATTGAGTGTTTTGCTTTTTGTTCTTCTAATTCAGCGTCGTTTCGGAAAACGTATTCCATAAAATTTATTTAAGCAAAATTCCGTCAACGATAAATAAGATTGATTTCCTTTCCCAAGTCCTATTTGGTTGTAAGGAAGCAATGTATCTTAGGGCAATGGCTCGGCCATAATGCTAGCTAGTAGCTACACCTTTTCAGATATCCCTGGATTAATACGGACGAATTGAAAACGGCTAATATTTTATGTACGTATTTTACTTCTGGTCAACTGCATGTTTTATATGCGGTTACAGTTAATTTATTGAACGTAGGGGCGGAAGAGGGCTGATTTACTACGACTAAATATAAATAAATTTAAAAATAACGATGATTCAGTTAATACTCGCTAAATATATGGGCGCATTTATAAAAATTTAAATTTGAGAAAAAAAAAACAAGTTATTGTGACACCCTTGCAGTTAGATTACACCGCAGAGCATTCGTGCATAACGGTTGCAGAACCTGCTTCGCGTTCTCCAATTGATATGTATGGATAAGTTATAATTTCGATTTCAGAATTTGTTTTAGTAGTGTAAAATGCAAAATAAATTTTCCTTTTGTATTTTAAATGCCAAATACAAAATACGTATCTTCAAATAAATACTTTTTTAAAGTATCTATTTAATTTTCTACATTTACTTAAGTATAAAATATTTTTAAGAAAACTTTGCATTTGCTAATTTTTTATATATTGGAGTTTTTCTATACTAATAATGGTGTTTACACTATATCACCAGCTGCAAAGATTGAGATGTAGTTTTTCTATCTTTGTGTTATAGCTTCTTTAGTTCAGCAACAAATAATTCTTCTATATGCTTCCTTATTTACCTTTGTCAGCCGTTTTAATTGGAAAAAAGACACTGATGCCATAATAGTTTGTTTAGCTTGAAAAATCAGAGCCAAAATATCAATCAATCATATTATATCAAAATATTTACAACCGCATATAGTTTCCGATCTTTTACACATTCTATTAAGAGAAAGAAATGGAATCTATAGTTTCTTTAGCTTTGGGTTCATCTAATAGATGAAGTTTTTTTCGTATCGTTTTCTAATAATATCAATATCTTATAGTTTTCAGTTTTACACAGCTAGCGTATATCAATTCGATATTGTTTTGTGGGCTGTTTTGTCGTAATTCATAGAATTTCATAGTTTCTTGCTAGAGTTAATTTGACAGGTGTTGATCAATTTGGAACTTCAAAATTCCATGGACCTTGACATTGAACCCGGAAAATAATATCCATCCAATATTGTAGATTATCCATTTACAAGGGTTTTAGAATTTTTTCGGCTCTCTTCAATTAAAGAATTAGAAGACATTCATGGAATGTCTATGTTCCCTTTTTAATCTTCTAATACCTTCAATGGCCAGTGTCAGCCACTTTCATTCATCATTTTATATAGTTTGATCGATAATACTAGCTAAACTTTTAACGGCAAAAATGCATTTTGCATTTTACAAATAGAAAATACATTTGGAAAAGTATTTTGAATAAAATACAAAATGCTTTTCTCAAAAAACTATTTAAATGCAAGATAAAAACAGGTATTTTTTATTTTGTATTTGCATTTTAAATGCAAGTATTTCAAATAAACCATATCTGTGTCTAACTAGGCCTAAGAAGGATAATGCCTAGTTCCCTCCCATATACCTGTTTTTAATTAGGGTTAAAATTTTCGGTATGTCGAATCCCCTCCTAATTATACTTCAATTGCCTCCCAACGGCGGCGGATGACCTTGAGATATGTTGGAATAATTTCGAAAAATATGGTTATATATATATATGTGAAAATGATGAGCATTATCACCTCTTCAAGGTCATCATGTTTGCTGAAACAAAGATAACCTCGTCACATTATTCTAATATCTAACATATTAGCCTCCGGCGGGCAGGGACATTAAATAAATTCCATTCTGTTGTCATTATTTGGTAGAAACTACGTTAGTGAAACTACAATTTTTCTTCCTAGTTTGTGGGCTAAGAATTCTTCTGGCGTTTACACACTATAAATATATATTTATTTTCGACAAATAAAATCGGTAAGTAGTCGTTAGCTTAATTATCGGAGCTGATATGAACGGGAGGGAACTTGGCTAGTACCCGGGAGGGAATTCGACTATCTACATTTTAACCAAAACTACCTGCGGGAGGTAATTCGGCATCATCAGAAGGTGTCCTACCAATTTATTTATCTCACCTATTTCTAGCAAGGAGGACCTAGAGATAGCTTTAAATAAAATGGAAGCGGTACTGACAGATCAGTACTGTATCAAAATAAATAAAAGTAAAACTAAAATACTGATATGCAAGTGAAGAAAAAGTAGGGAAAGAGCGAATATAAAGATAGGAGACGAAAAATTAGAAGAAGTGGCTGATTTTAGATACCTAGGAAGTCAGATAAGTNGGTCACTCCAAAATTTTTTAGACGGTAAAACCTTCACCTCAAATGAGGAGGTCAAAAACCTCCTCGATCAGTTTTTTGCCAGCAAAGACCAAAAATTTACTACCAGAAAGATGGCAAACGGTGTTGGACCAGAACGGTGAATATATAATGTAATAAAGTATTTGTTTATTATACGAAAACTGTCTTTCATTTCCACAAAAAAAACGAAATGACTTTCCGAATAACCCTATAGTTGCTTGGTTGTAATCGCCATTTCTTTATACGTTGCCAATTCACGTCCAGGGCCGGCATCGGATTTTAACTTCGTCTGGCTTTCTTACAAATCTTTTGATCTCTTAACCGCGTTGCTTTTCCCACCATGTGATTCACCATTACGTCTGGTTAAAACCCTCCGAAGCTTTCCACTTATTTATAATAGAGGATATTACGATGAATTTAATTTTTTAGAAGATTTGTAACGCTGCAGCACCCATAAACTGATCGCCTCTTTCTGTCATCCAAAACTTGTATCATTTTCAATCAATTACATCTTCAATGTTTTAATGTTTATATAATATACGCTAACAATAATAATAATTATATAAATTAATTAAATAAATAACAAATCGAAAAACAGTAATACCTTGGGAGATATCACACATAAAAATGTTGATAATATCGGAAACAATTTGGAATTGTTCCGAGCGCGAGCTACAACGTCTTAATTTTGATAGGGGAGCTGAATTGGATACTATTTCGTGATCGGAAATCCAATGATTTCATCTTGTAGTTGATTAGGAAGTCCTGTATTGATTAAGTCAAGGCCTGAATTCCTTTTGGCGAACAATTAACTGGTTTTACTTGATTACCCAAGAAGAGCAACTCCCCGTGCTACGTGACAGAGATCAATTATTTCTTAATTCCATTAAAGATTAGTACACAATTTTTGAAATAAACAAATTGAATTGTGAGACGCGTATATAAGGTGCATTTAGATTGATTCTGGCAAGGAGATACTGTTCGTTTCAAGAAGTTAGAGATATGCCCCTTCCCTTCATTAGGATTCCAAATTCAATCATATTTGTCCAAGAAGCTCATTTCTCCACCGATCATCGAGCGAGAACTAAACAAAAGTGTACAGTACCATTTGCAAAATTATTTAAACTGCCTCGTTAAAATTTAAAAATATGCTTTATTTAAAAGCATATTTAGCCAAAAATAACAACAAGTGAATTAACTTACCATTTACACACATATAAAACTTTTGCTTTGTTTTCTATTGTTAATTTATATACATTTTTGTTTTAAGAAATTGCTAAATATTTTCGTCTAGTACTGTACAGTTATGGTCGATCTCCTAAGACCGCCCATCGAGAGCTCTGCTCGTTCAAGCTTGTTCCAACTATTTCTGTCTTGCTCACGCCTAGTGTGTATTCTTTCTATCTTCGCACAGATTTCTTCTAGGTCACAATTCTAACAAATTGAAATAGTTTGTACCTTTGGAAGACCTACAATGCTACAGTTAGCTATGAATATAGTGTCACCATCGGCGTAATCGTTCAGTTATAATATGTATCATGAATTTCGAGGATAAAAAAAGCATCGAATACCAAACGTTTATTGCTTTTCCTTTCAAAAATTTTATCGAAGTATAACAATGTAAAGAATTTAATTTTCGCTTACCTTAAATACATATAAGGCGTACGTTTTGCGTCCCCTGGGAGAAAGTGGTAGGTAGCAATTCGGAAAAATTCTTAATCGAAAATTCTACTTCTCCAATACCCTCGATCTTCACGTGTATCAGATATTTGGTACGTAAGTAAGAGTCGATATAATGAAAAACGATGTCACCCTCTCATCGTCATAATTCGAATATATTAAATAATAATAAAACCGAGAGTTTGTGTCACAATCGCTCCCGCTTCTCCTGTCGTCTTATTGAATTCAATTTTTTCTATCGTGTAAATTGATCTTTATTGCTCTTTTCGTCTGTCGAACAGAATACGTAATAAATTTGAAATATATTAATATTAGTGTGAGCGTCAAAACGGCGCTATTTATTTTATAGGAAACAAGTATGTCATGTACTTTTTCTTGGTCCTTCGAGCCGGATACATTATAAAGAATTTGAAAAAAACGAACTAAGGATGATTAAAAATACAAATATTTCTCCCTTTTTTCAGGTTAAAGATGTCGACGAGAGGACAACCTGGGAGAGGAAGTTTAGGGTAAGTAATTCTTACCGCCCTTATATTATTTTTCATAAATTCATCAAGTTTAATTACCTGATAAACTGGACTGTCTCATTATTTTAATTTCGTTCTTTCAAATTTCTACGAAAAAAGGTAATAAATATTGCGTAAATACAATAAATGGTGCTACGCAAGGTAACGATGCGTCATCCGTTATACCACTTCATTATTCATTTGCCGATTTAATTATTATAAAATGTTGTTGGCACGATACAAATTCTTATGTACGTGGTGGAATGAGGCTAAAAGA